ATATATATATGTGTGTGTGTGTGTGTGTGTGTGTGTGTATATATAAAACCTAAAACCTAGGTTACAAAAGCATAGCATAACCAGTGGGAAATTGGATCTGGGTTGAAAAACTCATTTTGACAAATAAATACCTAGGAAAGAGATTTTTTTTCTTGATCTGTTTCAGTGTGAAAAGACGAGAGGAAAGGTTCTGAGATACATATCAGTAGGAATAATTTCTTTATTTGAATTTCTTTAGTTTTGAACTGCTTCTGCATGTTTTATTTTCAGCAACTTTCATTGCTTTTCATACAGCAGTTTCAGTGGAAGTTGCATGTGAACATGTTAATTGTTTGTCAGCATTTTAGTCTGTATTTTCATCCATCATCCTGAAGGTGAAACAAGCTTGAGCCATAGATACTCCTAGTACATATGAGCACACTTCTGTCTTTCTCTCCCCAACCATCCTCGCAGACTGATGAGGAGCGGCAGCAGGCCCTGCAGGCCTTCACTGCCCAGGCCTTCCTTGGCTCTCCGCAGCAGAATACCATCTCCAGTTCTGGCTCGGGTGCCTCGGTGCCTGCCTTCCCATCCCCCACCAGTTCCTCTGACCATAAGGCCAAGATGAAGAGAGGCCCACGAAAAAACCAGAATGAAAAGTACCGACTCAAGTACCTCAGGCTGCGCAAAGCTGCTCGTGCCATGATATTTGTGAGTGAACTAGTGAATAATTAAAAAGCTAGTTACTCTAGGTTTTCTTTCACATCTTGCATATATGGAAGGATATTGTAAAGGATGATAAAGCTGAAACAGTGAAAACAGTTTAATGTATTATGTTTCTCTAAGGAGCAGTTTAGTTATTATCAGTGTTGTAACACTGTTTTACCCACAGGAGAATGCAGCTCTCTGCGATGAAGTTGCCCACTTAGAAGAGAAGTTTCTGAGAGCAAAGGAGGAGCGGAGGTGAGTGGAAATGTTTCAGCTATATTTATGAGTCCCATAATGTTCTTACAAATATTAAACATTTCCATTAATCTTTATTTATAGGTTTTTACTGAAGTCACTGTTGCAGTATCAGTGTTTGTCGGAGGGGGAAATACTATCCACACCCAGCTCAAGTTCTCATCCAACTGTGCCACCTGTGGCATTAACCTCAGGTCCTGCAGGGGCTTCAGGCTTGTCTGGGGGGCACAACCTGACACCTGTGGTATCAACAGGGGAAGAGGGACCTCTTAAAAAACCAAAGAAGGAAAGAAAAGAGCGAGGCAGGGAGAATGGAAAGGAAGAACGTGAGCACTATGGTCAAGTATTAATGCAGATGCTGATTGGTAATAGATGACATCTGGCCAGTGATTTTATTCTGTCATATTTGTTTAGTTCCAAAGAAGATGTCTAAGAAGAGAAAGCTAGCAGATGGGTCTCGGAAACTGGTGCAGCCCATCCCTCTGGACTCATCTGGTCGTCCTGTTTTTCCCATCATCCTGGGAGGTTTAACAGTCTACAGTCTGGGAGAGGTCAGTGTTGGACCTGACTCACATGTCACAGGTGTGATAAACCTCTGAACTGAAGCCTTCCTGTGATGACAACTTATACTGTCTATCATACCTATAGCTAGATGGATGGTTAAAAAATCTATAACATGACAAAGTGGGGATAAAATCAAGTTGGCACTTTCCACTGAATGTGTTTTACCAAGTGCAAATTTGTAACTGCTCTCCAGATCATCACAGACAGAATGTTGTTCCATGATGAGTGCGCCATCTACCCTGTGGGCTTCTGCAGCACACGAATCTTTGCCAGCATGAAAAACCCCAACCAGCAGTGCCTCTACACCTGCCAAATAAAGGACGGGGGAACAGGTCCACAGGTACACACACACAGTTGTGATTGTTGTCAGTTTTACCTAAATGTCCATCATCATTCTTCTGGCCCTAGTTTTCAGATGCTTATAGTGTAAGAAAATGAGTTAAAATATCTAATTTAACAGTTTCTCTGGTCAGAGGTGAGTAAATGTATCAAAACCTCCACGTACTGCCTTGCTGCTCTGATACATATGCAGTCCATTACTGTCCCGCCAGTTTGAGATTGTGCCCGAAGAAGATCCTCAGAATGCCATTGTGGCCTCCTCTGCCCTGATGTGCCATGCCAATCTGCTGAAGGCCATTGCATCAGTCAGGTACTGATGCTGCCCCTCAGACTGATGTTTTTATACTGTTAAATAATATAAAAGTTCACATTGCAGGCCTTAATGCGCCACTCCAATTTTTTTGTCAGCTTTTTGTGTTGTTGGTTCACATTCATGTTAGTAATTGACATTTGTTCACGGCTGATTTGAACACGCTTGAAGTCTTAAACTGTTACACATGCACAGGTTTAACTGAAATTTGAGTCACGTATGTAGAAGAATACCAATATGGTAGTGATGGGTCCGGTTACATCTCGGTCACTTGAGCGCCAAAACTGGCTTACTTGTGCGACATATTCAGCCTGCTCAATGAACTCAATCTGTCTCTTCAGGGGAAAATGACAACTGTCTTCAAGTTGGCAGATAAAGTAGTTGCATTTAAAGCCAAACTGGATTTGTGGGGACGGCGCGTCAACAGAGGCATTTTGGACATGTTTCAAACATTAGCGGGGATTTTGGGTGAGACTGAGCCTGAGCCTTCATTCTCCCAGCTGGTGCACGATCACCTGTCTTTGCTTTTAAAAGAGTTCGAGCGCTACTTCCCAACCACAAAGGACCCACGAACTGCCAAGGAATGGATCCGCAACCCATTTGTCAACAAACCAGGTGAATCCAGCAGGTCTGTGCAAGAAGAAGATCAACTGCTGGAGATCGCAAATGAATGGCGGCCTTAAAAGTATGTTCGAGACAACAACTCTGCCGGTGTTCTTGTGCTGGAGATCGCAAATGAATGGCGGCCTTAAAAGTATGTTCGAGACAACAACTCTGCCGGTGTTCTTGATTAAAAATACCCTGAGATCGCCACCACAGCACTGAAAACTGAGACTTTGATGTTATACTCATGTTATGTTGGTGGCGCAACTGCTTAAGTTGCATACAAGTACACATTGAATTCACATTTATTATTATATTTACAAACACTCTGCAATGGCTTAAATTATATTATTGTATATACTAGGTCATCAAATCAGTGTCAGTTGAGTCTGTCAACTAGGTTGCCTGTAGGGATTTTTAAGGTCCAGCAGGTGTCAGTATTCAGTGACACAGTATCGACACAGTATCAATACAGTTTGGCAATGTGTCGAAACGCTTCATGACGCCTCATCTACCCATCACTACAATATGGTCATTTGTGTGAGGGTCAGGTTGCACAGTTTTATCAAAAACTGCTTGGCTACGGTACATACTTGATCAGAAGCTTCTCCATAAACATCCAACAAATTTGAGACTTCCTTGTCTCTCCACTGACCTGCGCCACTGGTGTCGCTCTCCTCCGTCTTTTACTTTTAACTGGACTGTGAGGGGCCAACAATGAATGAATATGACATTGTAAAAAAAACAAACGCATACATTCTGATCTGACCACATATGTACGACATGACGTGGCTGTCCAGATGGGTTGTTCACACATCTATGAAAATATTAGATATGAATCAGCTGGAGGAAAAAAATTGGATGTGGGTCACTTCAGCGGGTAATGTTAACATAGCTTTAGTCAGCTTTATTTTATGTCACTTTAATTGTGTACTAATTCATGATGTCCTTCTAGTTCCAAGTCTGTGGTACCAATCGTGCCATCAGGAGCTGACTTCTTTGGCTTCTCTCACCCCACGATCCAGAATCTCATCCAGAGTTGTCCTGGAGCACGTAAATGTAGCAAGTAAATTCACCCTGCTCCCTGAATGTGGATAATGAATGAATTACAACGCACGGCATGTACTTGACATTGTCCCATGCATAACATGGTTAAAATGTGGATTTGAAAAACTTAAACAAAAAAAAACAAAAAAAACGTGCTTTGTTGTGGCAGAACTTTTCGGGTTCTGTGTTTAGACTGTCTAGTACTGAAGCAGTTTTATGTGGTAAACTCTAAATAATACTGTAAATATTCAGTATCAGTTTTGCAGTTAATTGAAGTTCCTTTTTGAGATGTGCGGTTATACAAAGTAAAAGGGCATATCCAGTATTTCAGTATATTTTACATATGTAGGTCGAGTCAGCTTGCATTCGTTAGGAATTTAATTCCTTTTTTTTCTTACCTTGTTTATTTAGCTACAGATGGATTCGTTTTGAGGTGTGTCGTCCTGGTGATGGCCAGGTGCCTCACAGCCTATCAGAGGATGATGCCTCTGTGAACTTTGAGGCCTACCAGAGACACCAGGGCTTTGATGAGAACCTCAACATGGAGCACATAACAGGTTGTTTGAATACAAGTGTTTTACAGCATGACCTCGGTCTGTTGTGTCAGTAACCCCAATAACCCTACCAGCTTCTGTAATTAATAATATAAATATAGTGTAAGCAGCCAGCTGAAAAATAAGTGTACTCCCCTACAGGAGTAAGAACATGTTAGGATTTCAAAGTAAAAGTATGCCCAAAAAGCCAAATCGTTCACAGTGCTTCCACTGTCTGTCATTTCTTGCATTTTCTGATGCTCACATAGTGATCACCTAGCATCACATTGCCTGTTACTCTTTTCCAACTATTTATCCATCCATTTTTCTTCAGGACAGACACCGCAGTCTCCTGGCTCTCATCAGCACCACCTGACCTCCCCCGCCACGAAGCCCTCTACCTCGTATTTCAACTCCTGATCCCAGCGAAATCACAGTCACACTTGATTGTAATCCTGGTGAACATTCCTTCTTATTTGCAAGACTTACACTTCTGATTTCAAAAATATTATCTCGGTTAAATTATTGATGAAATGGTGCCGTATAATAACTCTGACTTGTTAGGTATTGTATGCCACCTTTGAGCTAACCCCAGACAGCGTTACTGGGGATGTGTGCTAGCATGGTTGATGCTAATATACTGGATGAGGCTGGTGAATTAGCTTTGTGCCCAATTTGCCAATAGCAACATAAACCCACCACCTCTACTAAAATTACATTTCTGCTGTATGTATATACCCCTGTGCTGGATTTTAGAAATGAAGTCCAAGTCAACATGTTTAACATATAATTATACCATTATAGGAACTGGGCATTAAATAGAAAAACTGAAAAGGGGGGTTTCTGCTTTCCCATGTGCAGGTTTTGGTACTTGGCATACTATTGTATTGGTATTGAATACTGCAGGTACCTGGTTTACTGTTACAGTTATAAATCACTGTAGTTAACACTTTTTTTAAAAAACTGTTGAAATATTTAACATTTGGATTTATTAGTAATTTTGTCATTAATTTTGTTTCTGTTCACAAATACACAAGCATTGGCTTTGAATGCAACACCCCGATAAACTCAGTTGTTGATTTGTGGTTTATTTATGATTGATTGATTGATTTATTCTTTCAAACATGCAGAACAGAACAAATGAACAAATGACAATAACACACATAATTACACATATCCAACCAATACTAATCCAAAATCAGTTTGCTTACACCTGTTACATGTTTGAATGGAGTAGGAAGAAGTCAGACTTATCCAGTCCTACCCCATGACATCATATTGTACAAAATTACATACATCATTGGCTGCAAGCTCTACATAGATAAAACAGTGTTTCCTAATGCCTTCTCGAATAAATCTTATTCTTGCATATATCTTGTATAACACATACATTTATATTTATATTTAAACTCCTCAATTCTAGTACTATTTTTCATATCCACAGTTAAATTATTCCATAATTTGACCCCACTTATAGAAATACAAAATCTTTTTTTGGTTGTACGTATAGCATGAACTTTTAAATTTAAGTGACCCCTTAAGTTATATCCCCCTTCCCTTTCACCAAATAACTTTTGGATTCCACCAGGTAATAAGTCGTTCCTGGCTTTATACATAAACACAGCAGTCTTATATTCCACTAAATCAAAGAATTTTAACAATTTAGACTGTATGAAAACTACATT